GGAATATGTATGTAAGACTCCCTGTCTATAGGAAAAAAGGGATGATGTTTAAGACTGAAGCGGCTATGGCTTAAGTTTTATTTCTATACAACAGAAGAGCTTCAGCGTCTCTTTGACTGCTTTACTGCTGTACCAGTGGTTCAGCACTGACAAAAGAGGAAAATCAGCTTTTTACTACAATTAGGTGTCCAGTAGACTAAAGAGTTTAAGACATTGTTGCAGAGTCTTTCTAACCTCAAAGATTTTTCTTTCAAAATTCACTTCACACTTCTCTTGCCTAAAATCTTTGGCTGATACCAAGCACACGCTTCATTAACATATAGCCAAGTTGCCTTTATTTTGATAGCACTGCTTTGAGGTGGGCAAGCAAGAGGTAGATAAAAGACTTCATTCTAAAAGCAAATTAGAATGCCAAGAAGATACTTCCTATTTCTCAGTTAAAAATCAGCAGAGTAGAACAACTGCTTGCTGAAACATGTCATCTGTGATTTCAATAGCGAGTTTGAGCAGCTGCAGTTTGTCAGTGATGTCCCTTGGAATACAAACAACTCAGGAACTCTCTAGGGTCCTCACTAATATAGGCTTGTTCCGTGGTAACACAAGACAGCACCTGGCTTAAAAATTCACATGGGGAGAAGGTAACTGCAGCACTGCATAGTCTTGAAAGAAAAATAATGCAATACTTGGTTTTCCTTTGATTTCAAGAGGTGCTTTTGTCTCTATCACTCTCTCTGCTTTGGAGATTAATAGGCCAAGGTTCTGGATAAGTCTCCTTTTGCTTAGCAATTGTGTCCTTGGGAGCATCTATGTGTGTGAAGCAAGAGCAGCTCCAATACTGCTGGATATGGGCTGACAGCAGTTGCCCAGAGAGAACTACCAGTTCTTTGGCTCTACTCAACTCAAAAGTGCTTTGAGAGGTGGCAGAGCTCCTAAGCTCCTCCCTCTACCCTCCTTTGTTTTCCCTCCCTTGTTGGTTTGCATCATGTGGATACCTGACCACACCTGCACTGCCACAAAAGCAACAGATTGTTCAAAGATGCTGCTAAGAATTAAAAGGGCACGTGTTAAGTATGCTGACCAAGGAGACAGCGAAGCACTGCAGGCAAACAGGAAGACAACAGGCAAAAAACAAATGTAGCTGCTTTGAAGGCAAGATCCTTCCATACTGTGTTGTGAGAGATCTCTTTCTCTATATGCACACACAGAGAATATAATTCAAAAGGTATTTTAGGAATGCAACGTAATTCATTCAAATCCTATACATTCTTTCAATAAGCTGAGGGACTGTTTTAACTAAAATTGTGACAGCACTAAACAATTCTTAAAATTTTATGCATATGTTAAAAGAACCATTGAACTTTCTTCTAGACTTGTCCAATTCCTGGACAGTTTCACAGGTCTTAAGACAAAGATATACATGTATCCACGATCAAATACAGAAACATTATCTAAATTAAGGCATTTCAGTCCTTGGGTAAAATGAAGGCATATCCAAGGGAAAAAGAACAGGAAGGGAAGTCTAGGATGATGCCATGAATACCCACGATGAATACAACTTAAGGGAATTACTTATGAAACACACTTGAATGACCTTAGCAGGAGATAACACTCTAAATCCAGGGGAAGGTAGAATCTGACAGGGGAATTCCTTCCCTACCCTGTGTCGAGTTCCACACTGCCTTGAGCAAGGGATCAGCCAGGAATCTAGAAATGACACTTTCTGGTATGCCTGAGCACATGTTCACAAGAATGTGGGTAGTAAGTGCTCCTGAGAGTAACTAGCTACATCATCCATGGACAAGTCAGGTCACATTATAAAGCCTAAGCACCAACAACTATTGTCTTAATGCAGAACTGCACTTATTATCAGAAATACCTCCAGTCATCTTAATTCAATCATCTCCACCCTCCCCAGCCCAATAATCTATCAAACCTAGATGAAAGCATATCTTGATGATTAGGACCAGATCATGACGTAGCTGCCTGCATGAGTCTTTCTGTTGTTTGAATTCTCAGCAGCTGCCTCAACACCAGTGTCCAGCCACTGAATATTTTCTTTCTTTTGCCAGTAAGGGAAAAAGATCTGAATTGTCTTCCATTATCAGTGTGCAGCTATGCACAGTGATCAAGTTACTGCTTTGTTTATTGAGAAACACTAAGGAGATTTCACTTGGGTCTATATCATAGAAGTACTTTGCCAATTCTTTGTTGCACATCTTCGAGTGCAGGCACCAGAAACAGAATGCAGGACTCAAGCAAGATAACCTCCCTGCTTCTATTAATAGTCCAGGATCACATTCACTGGTGAAAGCTCCAACAGCAGCTTTCTGCATATTGCTCTAACTCTTAACACCCTTCCTCACTTCTCTTTAGGTATTTTGAGTCATCGTTTGTCATAAAAATCTTAGTTTCTGTTTTCACAGTCTATTAGGAATAAAAAGGCACAATGTTAGCAAAGCAAGAAAACACACATCCAAAGAACAACCTCACTACAAACCCCACATACCCTAAAACACTGTGCTTACATAAGAGGACAATTTATTAACAGGTCCAGGGGCTTTCCTGATCAGCACACGTATACCACTAAACTGCAAATGAGGCAGCATGAGAAATCCTTCAGAATTCATTAGAAATACAGATATTTGCACAGCAAGTGACCTTCTCACACAAGCTAATTTCCAACAAATTGTACTTGCAATTTCCCAGAAGACATTTACCCTCACCCTGCAATCTCCCATATCTAACATCCAAATTTTCAGACTTCAGTCATTATTTGCCTGGCTCCAAAACTGAATCAAGTTCTTGGAGTTCTAGAAGCCTCTCAGATCAGGTGAGCAAATTTGTTTGTAGAAGGAACAAGTTTTTCAACTGCAGCAGAGTTAATCTTACCAGCTCACAGACAGTTAAGCCTCAGGCTTTCCCTGGATAAGGTTAGGGTTATTTCCTATGGGGCTTCTCCTAACTTTAGCTATGCACCGTGAACATCACATGACTTACGAGAAAAGTTTGCTTCCCAGCATGGAAATGTCTTGTAATTTCTGAGTTGTTTTGGAATGGCACCATCACAGGTTTCCAGCAACATACTGGTCAGTAAGGGAGCAAGAAACACACATTCATATACAGGTTCTGGTTTCAGTTGTTTTTTGGGATTTTTTTTTTTTCATGACAATACTGAGGGTTGTGGGGTTAAGACACTGATTCACACCTTTAATGAGAAAACCCAGCTAACCACAGAGTTCAGATCTTCAGTCTGACAGGCTGCACACACAGCACCAGGTGAATATCTCTTTCTGGATCATTTAACAAGACATAGCTATAGGTACATGTGTGCAATCACAGCTGTATGTGTATACACACAAAATTCCACAAAAGTGAGGACAAAAACCACTACTTTCCTCAGCCAGCTTGAAAGGCAGTAGTAGTTTGTGTCTCCTGCCCAAGATAAAAGTCAGATTTAAGGATGCTGGTGAATTTTTCACCAATTTTGTGAGTCTTCTATTTCTGCCCTGCATCCCAATTATCTTTTCTAGTTAGGATTATAGCCTGACCCAGATATTCTGGCATCTGGTCTGATCCCTTCCAATTTTACTTTTTTTTGTTAGTCTCAAGCCAACAGAAAGAAAGTTGATTGCTTAAGTAACTACTATGGGAAAACACAACAAAAAATCTTCATCCAGCTATGCCAAGGAAACCTTGGCTTACAACAATTCATTATCATATTCTCTGCATATAAAGCAAGCAAAATCTGTAAGCTCCAGTCTGCTTCTACACTGAAATAAACTTGAAGAAATAACAATATCTTCAGAATTTACTGAGAAAATAACAATGATGATTTCTGCCCTAATGAGAGGGATTAAACCATTTACAAACTGAAGTCTGTAAGAAATGCCATCCTTCCTCCTCCCAACTTGAGTGGGTCCTATTTTCCTATAGAGTGATAAACAGAGATTATTTATGAGGACCAGGTGAAGGGCACGTTATGTGATCTTCTGCCTATGAGGTAGGACACAGGCAGAGTTCAGCCTTTTACATCAGAAAGGAAGCATGAAAACTATGTAGGAAGCAGTGCATTTCCAAAATTATTCTGAATCAATTTCTAGTATTGGCAAAAATCTCTTTCAACTTATCCTGTAAAAGTAACAATTAAAATTAGCAAATTGGTCAAAGAGTACACAGGATTACAAAGCTTTAGTACAGAAGATTCCTTTTTAAAGAACAAGGCAGTTAAAACAAATGACAACTCGCAAGTTAAAAGAACAAATAAAATTAAAAAAAAGGAAAGGCTTTAGAAATACAGATGCATGAAAATATAAACCCAACATATTTTCTGTATCATCTGAGAAACAGTTATTGTTCCCATCTGTAAAACTCTGCCTCTTGCAAGACTGCCCAGACAGCAACCTCCCAGCAGTTTCCTCCCTCTGCAATGACTGAATATGAGAAGTGAGCTGCACCTTTTTACCTTTCAGATGCACTAAGTAGTGCTGATGCATTGCAATAACACACCAAACAAATTATGGAAGTTGCTATTAAAATGTCGAAAACAAATAGATCTCTGGATATTCCCATCAATTCATTCATATTAAGAGATACAAACTTGGCATTACACTCAGCTCTGTATAACCAGCCAAAGGATTTATCAATGTTCTGTAATCCTAACATTAGAACCTACGTGGTTCAAAAAATGACATCACAGAATGTAATAGTCAAAGAGCTCCTAGTGTCCCCTGCTATCAAAGTCTGAGGATCCTGCTGGAACAGGATTGTAAACAGAAGTTAAGAAATCAGGTAGAAGTTCCTATAGTAAGAGCACAGCTCCAAATTTGAACAGCTGCCTCTGCTGAATCAAGTTCAAATTCACCCCAGACAATTTAACAAGCAACAAATTGGCATCTGAGACTTTCTAGGAACAGGTTATAATTGTAGGTCTTTCAAAAAAAAAAAAAATGTCCAAGAAAAGTTGCAATACCACTGGACCAGGATGGAGATGCTTCTGGGAATCAAAACCGTGAGTAAGCAGTCCTTTGCTGCTGCTGCTGGGATGGAGGCTGTCCCTGCTGCTGCTGAAGGCGAACCTGCTGGGAGTATGGATCCTCAAGAGATTTAACAAAAATAGTTGTTTTGGGCCCAGTTTTCCAGACAATACCATTTGAGTCTATTACAGAGGACTCTACTGTGATGTTGTGGGTGCCGAGTATCACAAAGTTTAACAGAAACTGAGTGCTGAAGTAGTCGTTGTGTGGTTCCACCCTCTGCTCCATCTCATTGGTCATGTTGTCAATAGGAATCTGAGGACACAGATGGAAGGTTAGAATGCCATGGTATATAAACCTGTTAAAAATAAGTTTTCTGCTCTCCATTTGAAGGAGAGAGGAAAAAACAGAAGAGAAAAATCTTTGACCTCAAATTTTTCTAAACCATTGCATGTGCTGTTTGAGACAGCTTGACAAGCTTTTTCATCGAGTTTTTATCTCTTCACAGAAACAAGGGAGCTAACAAGTAATTTTCTACCCAAGGTTCTAGTTTTCCACAGAGTAATATGAATCAAATACACACTACACACTTCCTACTCCTTTTCTTTTAGATGCAACTGACTTTTTTCCTTTTCCCCCTCAAAAAACCCCAAACAACAAACTGAATGAAAAACCAACCCCAAAACCCACCAAAACAGGCCTTTCACCAAACATCACACGTTAGCAGAACCTAAACTTCAGACATATAAAACTGCTAATTTGAATTTAATATGTATCTCCTCAGATGCTATTTAATTTCAACAGTCTTTTTAGTCCCGTGAAATATATCCTTGTATCATATATGTATCAAATATATACTGTTTTCATATGATATATAACTACATTAAGTGTTCCTGATCTCAAGCAGATTCCTAATGACTTGTTCTTGAATATCTCAAAGCCTCCTTGTTTCAAAGAAAAGCTGTTACTAAACAGGTATTGGCATATAACAGACTGAAAAAGCCCAGATCTCTTCCATGCACTATGCCTAGCTCTGGCCACTGCCAAGAGTGAAAGTACTACAGAACCACCCATTCATTTCAACCTGAAAATTCTGCTAACCAGAGTCAAATAAAGAACTGGAAAATACAGCAAGAAAGCTTAAGAGTCCTCCTGGCTCTACTTTACCCATACCTTATAGTCCTGCCCAGATTTGCTCTGCAGCACTGATGAGACATTGAGACAGACGGACTGGATTTTACGGAAAAGGCCTGGTTTAGATCCATGCTGAACCACTCCTTCCACCTTGAGGGCCAATTGCTGATTGTTCTGTACTGCTATAGGTTCTGCTGGGTTCCTCGGAGATGGGGATAGAGCAAGCTGAAGCAAGTAAAGAGACCAAAAAGTAATTATGTGCTTCCAGAAAAGCAAATACAATTCAAGGATGAAACCAGGCATCTTCTTTTAGAAACAGTTCTAAGGAGAGGTTTGAAAAAACCAGCAAATGGAAACATAGAAATTATCTGAGACTTGTTACTATTTTAATTTATAATCATCAGCAGCAATACAACAATGATGTTGTCTTTATATCGGTTTCATTTACTACACTTCTTCAAAAGAGGTGGAGAAAGAAATCTACAAAATAGCCACAAGTATGTATATTAAGCTGAACAAAGAAGTAAAGTTGATCTTAGTTAGTCAGCTGATAAATATTAAAATTTTCTTCCAAGATAGAAGACATTGTTTTCTGAAGGAAAATGAAAAGTAATACAAATTTATAAAAGCTGTCTTCCCATGACCAGAACTTATTTAGCTTTGCAGACTCAGAATCAACAAAAATTCCAACTACATTTTATCTTTAAGGCTCTGCAATCTAAGAACTGAATCCCAGTTGCCTAAGTCACAGCCTAGTGGTTATTAATGACTGTACATTCATATTACTGAAGTTACTCCTAACAGATAAACCCAAATGCTATTTGCAGTTAAGTATCTTCACTTAAAATGCTGAAGCTTTGTGCCTTCAAGTAGGGCTTTTCTCATTAAAGACTCTGTAAAGAGATGTTTCAGGCCACATTTGAGCAGGACTTACCTTAATACTTGTAGACTGCAGCTTTTGAAAAAAGTACCTTTGAAATGAAAGGGGCACCTTCAACAAGGCAATGACAGCATTGCACAGACAAGCTGTATGCTGTAAGAAACAGAGCCAAAACAATTGAGGACAAAGTATCATTCCTACCATAGGAAAAAGACATGTACTTGAGGTACTGAAACAGCAGTAATTTCCACTAGAAGTCCAGAAATATCTTAATACAGTCACAGAATAACGGCCACCACAATGACAGTGACTACATTCAGCCTCTCTGTTTATGTCCTGCCCTTTATGAAGAAGGTATACTGCTCTGGAACAACGAGGCCAAGAAAAAGAAAAACACAAATCTATCCAGTCCTAATGTTAGAATCAGCAGAGCAGAATCCGCTGTGCATATGAAACATTCATACACAAAACCATCACACACAAACTCAAATAAACAATGCCCCTCCAAGCAAACAAGATTGGCATCTACTGCAACTTAATGCAATGCAATGACTAAGTATTAAGCCTCCTGTCTACTCTTTATTTCCCTACTGCACTTTACTATCCTTCTGGTTCAGATGAACACAACCAGTACACTGCTGAAGTCACCAACCTGCCTTAGTAAAGAGCCAGTGACAACTAAGTTTACAGGGTTTACCTTTGCTATGGTTTACATGACTCATTCTGCTATTCTATTTGGAACTGGCAAGGACTGTTGAATTCAGAAACAAAGCAAACAGATGCCAGCCATGAGAAACAATTACCTGGTTCCCATCAATGTGCACTTCAGCTTTATGATATTCACTAACAGTAAAAGACAAAACCACAGCAGTCCTGTAAAGGAGTATGTTATCAGCTCACTGTTTGCACTCAGCACACTTTACCTTGTGTTCTCTGATGACCTGCATTGATAAGAGGAACACTATACTCACAAAACACAGTATCAACCACCGACAGCTCAGTAACCAAAGCTTGGCTAGTGCTGGACCCTCCAGCACTGTGGGTGGTGGTGGGAGAAAGAATTCCTTCACAGCAAGAGCAAGAACAAAGAGAATGTGCTTCAGTGTTTGACTGCAAGTGTGGTGAGTGGTCTGACAGAGACTTGACAACACTTTTAGCCATCTTATCAGCACCTGCTATGCTCTTAGTATCAGAACTTTTAAAGATTATTTTCAGCCAGACCAGCAAGGTTACAGATGTTTTAGCAAAACAGCTTTTGAAGTACTTTTGAAGCAGTGTGTCTCTATAGAGACCATGTGTGCCAGTAGGAGGCTATGTTAATTACCTGAGTGTATTGTTCAGTTTCTTGGCCATCACAGATATATGGAGTTATATGCCAGGTTATATACCAGGTTTTTGGAACCTTTGTCTGCATTGTATAGATTTAAAACTGTTACTTGCCAAATAGGACACGGGAGCATACTTCCTGTTGAGGGATTCCACTTCCTCTAGAACATGATTAAATACAGACATCATTCTTCTCTCATATTCACTTTCAACATGAGCTGTTCCATTCGAGCTATATTCCTGGAAACTAAAGCAATAAAACAGTACCTTTCACTGTGTCTAACATACTTTCCTCATCATAATCTGGGAGGCTCACTCCCAAACACACCCAACAAGACCATCCTCTGTTGCAACTTGATATCCATTAAGAAATACCTTTCAAACTGTTTACTCTGTTTATTATTTTTCCTCCACTGCAACATTTGTTCTTTACATTTAAACTTTTCTTAACTACAGCTTATCCCCCAGTTTCTGTCCCCACCCTCTCACTTGCAGCAGACTCAGCATGCTTACTTCCCCTGGCTTTTATTTAAGCCTCCAGTGTCTATAACAGTTTTTAAAACCTCACAACTCAAAGAAAAGCAAGAATGCCAGTTAGAATTAAAACTAAACCTGGAAGTTTATGATCTCATGCTTTGAATACAATTCCATCTCCCAGATACCCAGCTTCACACAGGTTGGATTAATACACCTTCTAAGCAATGTGTAATTCATATTGAGTAATACAGTCACTTAGGAGATATTATCTACAGTATTTTCCATTTAACCTCAGAGTTTTAAACAGTGATTCAATTGATCCATACTTCGATGTGATCGTCTAGTGGATATAAGGTCACTGGTAGACGTAGTGCCAGAGGTGATGAAGGCACTCTAGGAATTTAAACTAGTTTACTGCATATATTCCCATGACTTTGAAGGAAGCCAATATGCACTTACGAGTGCAAACAATAGTTACGGGAGCTAACAGAGAGTGACCCAAGTTAAAATAGGTGGTTGAGGAGAGATTAAAGTCCATTTTAATACAAGTCTATATTTAAGACCAGTCCAGTATAGTGCTCTCAAGAGCAAAATGAGTGTAAAATGCAGAACCCAAAACACAGTCCCCAGCCTGCTAGGTACAGCACACAGCAACAGGTCCTCAAGCCTGCCCAGAGTATAATTAGAAGGGTCTACTGAGAAACTTTCTGAACATTCTTTGAATTCTTAGGCTTAAAGTTCCAAGGATTTAGAAATAATGAGAAAAGGAGTATGAAGTATCAAACCTACCTTGCAGATTCTGGATCTAAAATCAGAGCTTCTATTGCATGTGAAATCAACAGACAGCTCTGCTGTTGTCTGATATTAATACTAAGGAGTTAAAACACATACAAAGTTAGCATCTAAAACAAGAAGTGCAGTGTATTTAGTGGTACTTCTTATTTCTCTAGCTTTTGTGAAGCAATCTTTCAGTCATTACTGGTTTAGTAAACATGGAGCAACAACTATGAAAATACCAAGTCTGATGCTGCTCCAGTTTTTGTGTTGTAACTTGTTTATAAAATAATTCCAAATAATAGCATGGGAATGTTTATTTTTAGATAGGTTTTAAGCAATGGGTACCAAATTTTTATGTTACTAACTGCTTCAAAATGACTTTGTGTCAGTCTCCATAGAAGAGAGGATTGTTAAGCTTCATGCTGGCCCCATGAGAAGGAAAGTGGACGAATTATAAGATTTTTAAAAGGATACAGTTCTACATTCCTTAGAGTTGTCGAGTCTGCGTCAAAAGATGACTGATACAGATCTCCATACCGTGTGGCCAAGTTTCGGAATTCCTCCATGGAGTGTTTCATCTACAGACACAATGTTCCTAGTCAAAAACACAAATCAAAGCAAAACAAACAAAACCCCACACATCCGGAAAACCACTACGCTGTAACATACAACACTGAAGGAATAAGGCAACAAACTCTGGCAAAATATGTTAAGTTTCTTGCTTCTTCACACAGGTAAAAATCACCAAAGTGACCAACTGCATTAAACAGGCATTTTTCCTGTAACACAGCACCAACATACACTCCCTGAGCCAGCCGTTAAAGTCAGGGGCAACAAAAATGTTTTTGTAAGTACGTTGGGAGCCAAAGGAGGGTCAAGGAGGGTGTCCATCAGTCAGTAAATACAAAGGGTAGTGTAGTGACAGAGGATACAGATAAGGCAGATATACTCAATGCCTGCTTTGCCTCTGTCTTTAATGTCAAGACTGGTTGTCCTCAGGACACCCAGCTCCTAGAGCTGGAGGTTGATGATGGGGAGATGAGTGAAGCCCCTGTAATCCAGGAGGAGATAGTTAATGACTTGCTATGCCAATTGGACACTCAAGTCCATGGGCCCTGATGAGATCCACCCCAGGGTAATGAGGAAACTGACAAAAGAACTTGCTGCACCACTTACCATCCTCTACCAGCAGTCCCGGATAACCGGAGAACTTCCAGTTGACTGGAAATTAGCAAACATGACACCCATCTATGAGAAGGGCTGGAAGGAGAGTCCAGGGAACTACAGGCCTGTAAGCCTAACCTCAGTCCTGGGCAAGGTCATGGAGGAGATCACCCTGAGTGATCCCTGCATGGGAATGTTTATTTTTAGATAGGCATCCTCTACCAGCAGTCCCGGATAACCGGAGAACTTCCAGTTGACTGGAAATTAGCAAACATGACACCCATCTATGAGAAGGGCTGGAAGGAGAGTCCAGGGAACTACAGGCCTGTAAGCCTAACCTCAGTCCTGGGCAAGGTCATGGAGGAGATCACCCTGAGTGATCCCTGCATGGGAATGTTTATTTTTAGATAGGATATAAGCAATGGGTACCAAATTTTTATGTTACTAACTGCTTCAAAATGACTTTGTGTCAGTCTCCATAGAAGAGAGGATTGTTAAGCTTCATGCTGGCCCCATGAGAAGGAAAGTGGACGAATTATAAGATTTTTAAAAGGATACAGTTCTACATTCCTTAGAGTTGCCGAGTCTGTGTCAAAAGATGACTGATACAGATCATGCCACCACATGGCACATGCAGGGCAACCAGGGGATGAAGTCCAACCAACAGTGATTTATGAAAGGAAGGTCCTTCTTGACCAACTTGATCTCCTTCTATGACAAAGTGACCTGCTTAGTGGATGAAGGGAAGGCTGTGGATGTGATCTATCTGGATTTAGTAAGGCATTGGTCACTGTCTCCCACAGCATATTCTAGAAAAACTGTCTGCTCATGGCTAGGATGGGTGGACTCTTCAATGGGTAAAAAGCTGGCTGGATGGCCCAGAGAGTTGTGGTTAATGGAGCTAAATCCAACTGGCATCCAGTCACTAGTGGTGTTCCCTAGGGCTTAGTATTGGGGCCAGTCCTATTTAACCTCTTTACTGATGATCTGTATGTGTGGATTGAGTGTACCCTCAGTAAATTTGCAGGCAACACTAAGTTGAGTGTGAGTGTGGATCTGCCCGAGGGTAAGAAAGCTCTACAGAGAGACTTGGACCAACTTGATCAGTGAGTTGAGGACAACAGCATGAGGTTAAATAAGGCAAAGTGCCATGTCCTGCACTTGGGACACAACAACACCACACAGTGCTACAGGATGGGGGAGGAGTGGCTTGAGTGTTGTTGGTCAGAAAGGGCCTTGGGAGTGTTGGTGGACAGCAGCTCAATATGAGCCAACAGTGTACACAGATGGCCAAGAAGGCCAATGGCATCTTGGCCTGTATCAAGAATAGTGTGCCCAGCAGGACTAGGGAAGTGATCATTCCCTTGTACTCAGCATTGGTGAGGTCACACCTCGAGTGCTGTGTTCAGTTTTGGGCCCCTCACTTTAAAAAGGACATGGAGGTGCTGGAGCAAGTTCAGCCATGGCAACAAGGCTCAGAAAAGGTCTAGAACACATGAGGAAGGATTGAGGGAATTGGGTTTGTTTAGCCTTGAGAAGAGGCTCAGGGGTGACCTCTAGGTTCTCTACAACTACCTGAAAGGAGGTTGTAGAGAGGTGGGGGATGGTCTCTTCTACCATGCCTGCAGTGAGGGGACTAGAGGGAACAGTCATAAGCTGAGGCAGAGGAGATTTAGCTAAGATGATAGGAAAATTTGTTTCAGTTTTAGAGTGGTCAGACATTGGAATAGGCTGCCCAGGTGGTTATCACCCCTGGAAGTGTTAAGAGGCATCTGGATCTGACACTGGAGGATATGGTTTAGGGGTTACAGCAGAGTGGCAGGTTAATGGTTGGACTTGATCTTAGAGGTCTCCTCCAACCTTGATTCTATGAAAACAAAAAAACTCCAGCAACAACCTCCCCCATTCCCTACTTGGTAATCAAACTGCTCTGTCTTTCAAAGACTACCCACTGATTCCTTCTTCTGCAGAAGGAGACTGCATGTGTTTTAGATGTAAACTGTTGTGGTGTTCAGTATGGTATCAAGATAGCTGCCAATATTCATCAAAAGAAGTTGCAGTGCAATCCTAAGGTATTTATTAGTAATCAGTGTAATCAGTGTCTGAGGTGTCTCAAAACGAGGTATGAAAGGCCTTGCTGCATGTCTGAGCATACCAAGTGGCTCACTATGTGCATATCCTTGAAAGCTGTGAATGTATTAGAGAAATACATGTACATGCTCAGCTTCAAAACATGGCCCACTACAGGCAGACATTTTTATAGCTACAGATGAAAACCAAGGCCCACTATTCAAAAAACCTACTTCACTACTACTTTTCCTTTCTTTTGTCAGATATGTTTGCTGGGAAGCAAAACTGGTAACAGAGTTATAAAGAGAGCTGCACAAGTGTGGAACAAGAACACCTACCTGGTTAGAGATGCGTCCACACCTTTGAAGATCATTTCCTGACGTCATAGCAATTGTGGTGGCAATAGCTGGTGGAGGACTTGTTTTGAGGCTGTTGCAGGTACAAATAAGTTGAGAAAAAGCTTGCAGAAGGTCAATCCTGAGTTTCACAAATCCACACTGAAAGCTCAGAGGATTAAGTGGTGTACTAGCAGCCTGAAACACAGTAATAGGAATGTTGGCAATCTAGGTCAAAAGCAAACATGATAAAATAACACTGCAGTGTCACTGAATTGTCTCATCACACAGCTGAATCCGTAAGTTCAATTCTAAAAACTGGTTTATTAAAACTACGTTTAACAGTTTTGCTCAATTTAAATCAAACTAAATATAAACAACACCAAAGTTACATAATTACTAAGTCATATTCCAAGCCTATCACCCTCGTAACAAACGTGAGTTAAGCTGTTGCAATGCTATTAGGCCACCTATTTCTGGTTTTTTACCCCCAAGGCCAAGCCATCAGGCTTCAAACAACAGTAGCCTAGATAGTCTGTACTGTAAGAGGGAGCACGCTGACATGGATGGCAAACAGAAACACAAAGACTAAAAGAAATGATTCTCTGCATCAGCCAGAAGAGAAAGAATTGGCTAAAGTTACCTACCGCAATAGGAAGGAGGGATAATCTTAGATTATTTATTTTTTTTTGGACTGTGAAATGGATGGGAACATTATGAATGCACTGAACCTTGTGTCTGATGAAGGCAAGAGACACAGTCCAGTGGTAACTAAGAACAGTAAATAACAGAACTTCAGGAGGGCAGACAAGCTGCTATTACTTAGAAAATACAGGTCCATCAAACTTTTCTCCCTGAGAGCTTATCTAACTCATAAAAGGATCTGTGACACCTTAGGACTTACCCCAGGAGGGGATAAAATGCAGCAGCCGAGGTTTGATACTAGTTAAGCAGCAAATCTACTACCTACTTTTCTTATACTCTTGAATTTGGAGAATACCACACTTTGTTCTTTAGGGGTAAAAGTAAAACCACATGCAGAACAAAGCACTGGGACTTTCTCTTACTCAGAGAATAGAAGTATGTCAAATGCATGGGTATCTTCCTCAGTGCTTCCTATTCCTCAATCAATCATTTCTTGAAGCAGGGAGTTCTAACCCATCCCAAAAATCTTATTAAGAACCACCTTTTCACTAGCAGGAAAGCAGCAAACTAGTTCCTTACAAAACATCCCATCATCTCAGAACTGGCCCACTATTGACCAAAGTAAGGAAACATCAGCCAACTGCAACCACTTTAAAATACTGAGCTAGATTTCAATCAAAATAAAAAAAGACTACTCCATCACTTCAGCCATTCAGCCCCTCTTATCTATCACTTTGCTTTCCCTTCTCCAAGGGCACAAGAAAAAATCCCTTTTGAATCGAAATTGTTCAGTTCGTTCTGCAAGGGTAGTTTCAGAAAACCCTCTGTGGAAGAGGGTTACACTGTACTGCAATTGCTCTACAGAGACTACATGCTTTTAAAGATACTAAAGTACCAGTACTTATATCAGAAAATCCAGACATTTTTAGCAGCACAAATTGGACTTGATTCTTGTAAATGGAAAGACAAGCTTGTCTCATTAATACTGCAATTTACCTAATCTGCTAGCCATATAGCCATGAGCAATAAATGAGTTACAATTCTTTTTTTTAAGTGACAGAAAGAGTTCTTTGACTCAGCCTAGTTCTTCAAACATCACCATTTGCTATCAACATATTTGGAATTAGCACTACTTAGTCAATTATTATTAGTGCTTTGTTCAAGCTTTGTATCTTCTCTAGATTATCAGCAAAGAAATAAGCACATCAAAAATAAGTACAATGCTTCCAATGAGATGTGTGTTCTGTGCCAGAAAGAGCAGGACCTATTCAAAAACCTTTGCTAACTCTACAAGCAAGTACACGGCAAGACAGATGGGGACTGTGGTCAATATGCTCTGTGACAAGTCCCTGCCCTCCCACACACACCTCTCATCCATACAGTAATGTGACTTTTTTTCCCCTCAAGTGCCCTAACTCACATGTAAGAACATTCTGCATGCAGCAATGCAAGACAGTTGTATGTGTACCAAGGAGGAATTGAGAAATTTTCCCACAAGATCAGACACTGTCTGAACATTTCACCATTGCTAAGCTGGGCTGACTGAACATCTACAACAGATTTACTGGCATGGTGTTTTCCAGCTACAAAGTGGAACAACTACACAAGGTTCATCATACACACCACTGTCTGCAGTACCACCAGTGCCGAGTCATGCTCTGCACTCAAACAGCAGCATCAGTAAACTGAAGTCAGAGGGAAGAGACAGCAAAAGCCTTCAGCAGTAAGACTATCATGGCACTTTGCTCTCCTTGGAAATGCTGAGTTCTACAGATGCAAACAGGGAGTGGCTCCTTTTACTCCAGCATGGTTGGGAATTTGTCCAGAGTGATGCAACAGGTCAGCAACAACCAGCAATAAAATGCAATTTCCTCTTCTCTAACCCTACAAAACCTGTACTTACTCCTCTGGACCACAGCCCCCTACATGGAAGGCACTGCACCCAGAAAGGCACTATGTGCAACATGCAGGAAGTGAAGTCAGCAGAGGAGATGAAGACAGGAATCCTTCAACAGAAAGAAACCACCCCAAACTCAAGGGAAAGGGTAATTAAATTGCTGAATCACAGAATGACCTATTTAAGCAAGTTATTTCCCTGCCTGTATTAAATATTAACATCTAATTAGATGAGGTCCTCCCCTCAATGTCTCCTTAATGTTAGAGAAATCTAGAAATGTAGAATTAAAAGCCTTATTCCCTCAGCCAACAGCTAAAGACAAATACTTCAGGAATGATGGGGCTTTCTCTCAAGACAAAAGTGCAAAATTTATGTCCTTTCTGTTCTTCACAGTAAGAACCAAAGGTCCTTATTCATTAATGCTTTTTTTGTTATTTATATTCACAGGCATCACACAGCTTCTTGATGTGTTTAACAGTTTGGAGAAGCAGAAATTTATTTGCATAGAAGCAGGTACCATCTGAATTCTGCCCATCTGATGAAACTGAATTGTCTTCCCTCCCCTTACTAAACTGGTGTTGCCTTGTTGTTAGGATTCCACGAGATCACATTGTCAAATATAAGGCAATGAGAACTCAGCAGGAGGGAGGAATACAATTGAATGCTTCTCCATATTTTGAGAAAACAGCAACCAATTTAGGGAAATTCCCAGGCTTGACTATTACAATAGCATTTATTCAGCCAAGACAAGGAGTGGAAAATTTTAAGTACTGTAACTTCAAACAAGAAGTGTCACATCATATGATCTGATCAAGGCAGGAAGTGAGGGGTGGGGGGGAAAGGAAAAAACAGAGAAAAATCTAGCTAATCACACTTAGCTGAACTGCAGGACCTTTTCCCTGAAGATGCAGTGTGTTACAACTGGCTCTTCTCTGCAGTCATCTCAAACACAGTCTGGCAGATGCCAGACATCTTTGAAAACTTTTCAGAGCTTTAAGAACAGAAAGCAACAGCCATAATACAGTACACAGAAACATCAGCATTAAACAGAAGATGTGTGGCTAACCGTGAGTGATGCTATTCCCTTGTGATAGGATTTTAAAGCTTCAGCAATGCAAGAGAGTGCTGAGCTGTAGTTGTCTTCCTGCAAACCTGTCAGGCACTGCTCTGCATGGGAGAACTCCTTCAAGCTGTTCAGCCAAAAGTAGAAGTGTTCTGAAGCCACTTGAGTCAGCAGGCTTTGATACAGCTCTCTGGCCATGTCATGGTTGCCCTGTAATGACAAGAATGTTTTTAAGAGGGAACATGAAAGAAGGCTGTGGATTTCTACAAAACAAATACTAATAACAAAACAGCAAGGTCTTCAGAACTCGTCCAGCTTTAAAAACAGAAATAGTGAAACTTCTCCCAATCATTTGATCATAACAAACCCAACAATAAAAGCATAAATGCTTATTTTATAGATATATCAGCTTGCATAAAGCATAGTATTTATTTACACAAGATAATTCAGTAAGATGATAAACAAATATTGACATTTACCTCAGCATCTCATACACAGGGTTTCTGTGTAATTCTAACCCCAGCTGTGGATTTACTGAAGGGAAAAGAGAAACAGTATCTTTTTCTTCCTTTCTTCACATTGAAGAAAGAGAAGCACACATCAGTATGACCTTCTGAAGAACAGTTAGGCAATACAGACTGAGCATGTGCTCAAGAAAGTGCCAGGTCACTACTTACTTCCCTCTCAAAAGGAGAAACTTTCAAAAACACAAGTGAAAACAAATTCTGATAGGATGAGCGCCCTAAATGGCATATATCTGAATCAGCATTCCAAGGAATTGAGAGGGAAAGATTTTTTTTTTTGTCCTCCATTCATATTCTCCTTCCAAGTCCTACCATTTTCCATACCTCGTTCTTCCAGAAACCACTAGCATTCCTCCAACCACAAAAAAAAAATCTCCCCCAGGCATTTTCACTTACCATTCTGGAAGCCTGCCTGGCTATCCTGTAGGCTGTCCATCCATTGGAGGCATTCTCAAGCTGCTGTTTGATAACAGTTTTGATTTCTGTGGACAAAGCTTTCTGACTGGACACAAATATCACTGTGGCAAGAGAAACCTAACAGGGTGGAGGAGTGGGGAAGAAAGTTATATTTCAGGAACTAAAGGAAAGAAGCAAGATAAGTCAATTCTGTTTCCAAAACTACCAGAAATTATCTGCTTTGTTTTGGACTCCAAATTACAAAAATTATATATATATTTTAACTGTAAAACTTCTCAGTGATATATCTTTTAAGTAGTTGCAGCAATCCAAGCATTTCTTGTAGATGAAGGCCACTTTCATTTAGAAAATCTCTACTCTGGCTTTTAACTGAGATATTTCAAATACTTCAAATAAATTAACAGAAAGCTTGTCATTTCTCTTCTGAAATTGAAATTCTTTTTCGAATAGATGTGATGAAAGCATTCTTCTCTCTTACAGTATATTAAGCCATTTTGCATCAGAGCACCATGTAAAACTGGAGCTAACTGCCATTTTCTTTGCCCCTAACTATTACTTTAGAGATACCCCAAGAATTCCAACAGCCAGGTTTGCCTAAGCAGTGCCATCTGCTGGGAAATCTAATGGAATACATGACAGACATAGCTCTACCAGATATTTCTACACAGAGCACTGACATACGGCAAGTTAAAACAAAACTGAAAACAGTGGCTATAAACTGGCACATCAACCTGGACATAACAAATGCTTTAGTTGCCTTTTCAAATAAAATCCATCCACAGTTGCTTATATCTGTCAAGAGCTATACACCAGAAGGTCTTACCAAAAGTTCCTGTTTTTTATCTGTGGCAGATTGTCCAATCAATTTATAGAGGTCCATCAGGTCTCCTAGTATCCCATCTGCTAGGACAGGCAGTTGCATGGCAATAGCTGCTAAACAGTGGCACATGAGAATCCTGGCATTGTCCTGGGCACTGTGCAGCTGTGCCAGCAGGGATTCAACCACTGACTGGCTCAGGTGAGGACGACACTTGACCAGCTTCACCATACAAGTTAACGTGATCTGCAATTCAAGAATCAACAGGGACAATAAACACAAGGTCTACTCAAAAACAAACAAACAAAAAAAGCCAGACATGCTTATCTGCAAGTGTGATTGCAGAAATAGAGAAGATCTGGTATTTTCAGAACCATGACCACTATAAAAGATGAGCTTTTCCTAAGAGCCCAAGCCTTTATCACAGCACAAAAACATATTCAAGAAACGTTAGTGCTCTTTCTCATGCTCCCAGCCTTTACAGATAAATACCTGGACAAAAATACTGATGGAAGTTTCTGAAGTAGGGAAATGAAAATAATAATTTATAAAAGCATTGCAGTCATGTACATTGCATCCCCATATCCAAAAAGCAAGTTCTCTCCAAGACTCTCTTTGTCTTTCAAAGACACCTCCATCCAGTGCTCAAGTTCGTGTTTTATTAGAGCTGTTCCTCTGAGAAGATGCTCCTCCAACTCCATGTAACAACCCATTTACTCTAGAGCTGAGAGGAGCTGCACTACAGCTGTGCTCAGTTTCTCTACTGCTCTGAACTCTGATTATGGGCAAACCAGAAAAGTCCTTATTTCTCTCCAGTCTGTTATGCTTCCACCACGAAGGATCTGGTGTACACCAGCCTCTCTGCTATCCAAGTTAGTACTATAACTTACAGCTGTATAAGGGAAAAACAACAGTAATATCACCTTTAAGGTTGCCTGAGCTCCTGGACTGTCATCTTGACTACAAAGAACAAGAAGAGCTTCTAAGCCAAAAACTGCATCTTGCTCCAAAGGCAGATGATCTGCAAAAAGAAAAACAGAGTTAGTTTGTTGTCTGTTCTGTTCTTCGACCATAGTTGGTGTAATGTTTGCACCTGTTTGTTACCTGTCATAACAGATAAGTATCTTCCTAATACTTCTGCCTTACGTCACTTGGATTAGAAACAATTCTGCCATTCCAGGTCTCAGGTAACTATTCAGCAGTCACAGCAACTGTGACATTTGTAAAGCAGAAATCTCTGGACTAAGACTTCTAAATGCTCTGTTATTCTTTTGCAACAGGCTTTGTGCAAAGGGTTTTCAAAGGCTGACAACTCAGTAGACTTATAGCAAAGGTAGAAGAAGCATTTATTTAGCACCAGTTCTACTGTGCCCTGTAGCTTTTTCTAAATTAAATGGAGATGGAGTCCCCCCAACCGTTCACAAAATCATACAAAATACTTCCTACTAGATTACAGCCCCCAGCATGAGGGACCAGACAGATTTACAGAAAGACACACAGACAAGACCAGTTAGTACATGTTAAGTGCGTAAGCCTGACGGTAAACAGACACACTTCACTGTCCTTGCTTTCACTTACCTTGTTCCTGACAAGAGGCTGATATATTAGTCAGAATTCTCACACCATGAGCTGCAATGCCACGGTTATTGTGGTAACAGCACTCCTGTGCCAGTTTTACTAAATCAAATGATCTTGCAGTTGTAGCTGCTGTTCCTAAATAAAGTCAAAACAAACAGAACATCCAACTGCACCTTTCAGAATTATGCCACAGGTTCTTTTCAAGTACATTTCTTCTAAACAACTCTATTAACTTAAGATTCATTTTTTTCTTAAATTCAAATGATAAAGTCTCTTTCTCTCCTCACACACAAACAGAGATTCTCCCATTCCTGAACACTACACAAGTTAGCCACACATGAGAAAGAACATTTGGATCTAAGGGCTGATGTTTCAGGGACTCAGAGAAATATTGCCTTAAGAAATATTATATCTGATTAAAAAGAGCTGGTGAGCATATTAATTATTAAGACATGCCAGAATGACTGAAGAGGATGTACTATTTTTTTCCATTTCTGCAGACCATGTAGTTGGACTCATAATACTCATTAGGGCAGTCTGGGTTTCAAGAAGTATAAAGAAAACAGTATGATCATAATTTTAAGAACAAGTTACCTTGGATCACTTTTAAATGTGTACTCTTTTTCTCCAGAATATTGTCACAAGGCAGAAAGGTTCACCTGGTGCTGCAGCAGGTCATTCCCACAAGGGTGGCATAGCATTACTGTACCAGGGTAACATGCCAGACCACACTCACACCGTTAAGTCCCCATGCTACTTAAAAACTATGCAAATCCAAGGTTTCAAGGCACTTAGGCAGAATGCAGGTCAGCCACCTGAGAGGTGACACATTTCTCAGTAAAATGAAGAAGAGTTTAAGATCCAAAGGTAAAAAAACCCACAAAATACAGGACAAAATCTTAGACCATGATTATTCATGGGTATACAGTGTCCCATTGTGAGTTCACACATGACAGTCAGTCAATCTCAGCTAGTGTTCTGAAGTTCAAAAATATTTTAAGAATATGCTACAAAGTGTTTAGATGAAACTCATCATCAGTAGAAACCCAGCCCATTAGAAATGCAAAAGATTACCATCCAATCTAGTTTTCTTACCTGAAGCACTGCTGAAGTACTGTTTAATGGCAATGGTTCCTGATAATGTGGAAAGAACAGATAACATGCCCATTTTCAAGCTGTCATAAGGAGTGTGAAGAGCAGATTCACAGAGTGCCTAAAGATCAGCAGGGGAAAAGACACAGAGGTAAGAAGTCCCATGAGCTATCCTAACTAAACATTTAGTTGCACTTCTCGGAAAAGTTCTGAGAGTCAAGATTTTTCCACAGAAAATACTATGCTAAAATCAAAAGTCATATCCTGAAGCATCAGTTTTAGAAGACTGAGCATGTGGCTTGCAGAAAAGTGACAAGGGGTCTTATATGCTAGGAAACATCAATTATAAATCATTTATTAAATAAAAAAATCAGTGGCAAAAATATTATCAGGTCTCGTTGATCAAATACTACAAAGGGTTTTAGGACAGTTTCTCTAGTCTTAGAGGCAGACTGATTATTTTGCCTTGTAACAATCTGCAGGGTTTTATGTAACTATCTCTGAAGAGCAAAGTTTCAAGTGTCATTTCCCGTAACAGTACTGGTATCCAACAGAATGCAGTCCAGATTCCTGGATAAATAGATGAAAGTGTATTTTACTTTTAAACTCATGTATAGTAGAGCTCCTTCATACTTCTGTGCCTTTTGCCCAATCTTGACAGGCCTTAGCACATCTAGGTTGGAATACCTCTTAAAATGCACATTGTTCTCAATTCATTATGCCAACACTGTCCACAATTTAGTCATTCACTGATTTTGAACAATTCTAGCCACTGGGAGAGGCAGTAATACAAGACACAAATGGAAAATGTAAGTATATTCTGCTTCAGAGAGTGCCTAGGCTGAATGATAACTGAATACAGTAACTGAATAAAGAAAAATAACAACAACAACTCAATTAGTTCCACATAGCAAAAAATCCCCTACATGGTGTTCTCATCAGGCATATGTATGGTGTAAGGGTTAAATTATAAATACATTTCTAATTTGTACCAATTAGTATTTTGCTAATCCACTGAACAGGATGGCACCAACAGACAGAGGAAGATACAAGGACTAGGGTTGGAAATGAGTCTCAGTGTCTCTCAGGACACTGATGTTTTACTCCAGTGCTATAAGATCACCTCTCAGAGCACATCTGAAACAGGAACTGTGAAGAATGTACAGAACAATTAGCAGGATGGACAGCAGACTGCTGGTTACCTTTGCAGTCAGGACTGCTCTAGGCATCAACAGCCACAGCTTCTAAACCTGATGTCTAGAAATCAGTGAAGTCTCCACAATTCAAAGACAAACTTCCCATCTGACCTACACAGCCAGACCCAAAATGCTGAAGAAACTAACAAACATATGTTGATAAAATGGGACACCAAGCAGGTCTCACCAAGAGAAAAGGAGGAGCCATTCCAGTCTGTGTTGAAAACAATTGCCATCTCAAAATGTGTTATGTTTCAGAAGTCAGAAAAATTCTCATCATTTCTGAAAGCCATTCAGCAAGAAGTAACAAGCAGACAATTCAATTTTGTTTTCACCTAGTCACTGGTTTAGTTCTGACCTCAATGGAGCTTTCCCCTATGCATTTCAACCACCAGGACACCTACTTTAGGACACTACATGATGATGAAAGCCATCTTATCAATGTCACTCAGACTGAGATAACTACGAACCAGACATAATGGTATTGAGTAGCATTTTGACTGCAAAGAATCCAGAAAACAATCCATAAAGCAGTTCCTTAAAATACCTTTCTGGTACTAAAGCATTATGAAGAATGAAGCAGTTCACTAAACAAAAACCTCTGCACACTCCAAGTCATCTCTGAGAATCAATAACAGAACAAAACCTGTTTTATTTCTCACACAATAACAAAAATCCCCCATAGCTTTTCCTCTCAGATGCCTTATGCTCCCACAGCATAGAACAAAAGTAGCTTCCAAGAGTAGCAAAACCAAAATAAAAAGAGCCAGGAAAAAGCAGAGCTGTATGTCAGTGCTGTTAAGTTCTTTAAATGTTTCCTTTCCCATCAGTCTAACTTGAAGTTATTTTCTATAGTCATTTCTCTCGGGAAAAAAGGGAAAGAAAGGGAATCAGAATGTTCACATGCAACTGTGATTGAAAGAAGGCACCAATACTGCCTACAACATAACAACTGTTTACCCAAATAGGACAGATGAAGTGTTAACACCTTCTAGGGTCTGATTTGTACAACAAGATTTACAAAGATACTATTGAAAATAAACCATCGATCCTAAGAAATTAGGTCAAAATTGCATTTGTTCGCTCCAGTATACCCTGTTGGATGATATGATTTGCCAAATCCTAGAGACTGTGTTACATGAGAGCATTAATATGTACTCAGTATTGTAAGATTAGTGTAAGCATTCAACTCTTTTCAACTCTATTACCTTAGATGAGTTTGTCAGATAGAAAAGTTATCGCCTTACTGTAAAAAGGCCTACCACATGACACATGCCTTTCCTCACTTTCCCTCAACTTTGATTCTTATGTGTCAATGTGTCCAGTGAAAGATACTCTATGAACTGCTCATTAATACTTGGCTACTTGCTTGACAAAGTAAACTAACTTAAGAATATGGAGATACACATTCTTCCTCCCTTTACCTCCGAAATTGCTCTTCTGGAAAGAATTTTACTACTAATTGCAATGTTTCATAATAAACATTAGTGTAAAAATGTATAAACCTGAATATTTTCTCTGCTCCATGTATGTGGTGTCTTGTTGGCCAACAACCTCAAGTCTTGGATTGCAAGCCTCTTCACAGCCTTCCTGGGGTCATTTTTCAAGTACTGCAACAAAAGTTGGATCTGCAACAAAATAAATTCATCGTTTAAGAGAGAGATGCTACTAGAAGGAAGTCTTTTCACAGAATCACAGAATGTTCAGAGTTGGAAGGGACTCTCAAGGATCATCAACTCCAACTCTTGGCCCTGCACAGGACATCTCCTAGAATCACACCCTGTGCCTGAGAGGGTTGTCCAAACACTTCCTGAACTCTGTCAGACTTAGTGCTGTGACCACTTCCCTGGGAAGCCTGTTCCAGTACCCAACCACTCTCTGAGTGAAGAATCTTTTTCTAATATCTAAACTAAACCTCCCCTGACACAACTTCAGGGCATTCCCTCAGGTCCTGAAAAAGCACTCGTGACGAAATGTTGAGTATACTCAGCCAAAACTAATTTGCCTTATATGTCTGTTTGCCTGCCACATGGAAAAGCCCTACCTGTGAACTCTAACAGTCTGGCATCTGATCCTACCTTCCTGCTTTCTTTGTTCATGTACCCTTCTCTACATAACCCTGCGTACTTTAGATGCCTTGAGACCTGTTTCCATGCTCAGAAATATCATAAAACATTCCCAAGATGCTCAGTTATGGTGTTATGATTATGCTACTAGCATGTCTTCTGGGTATTTGATGCTAATTTGGACATTTGTGTGACCTGCACTTAACAGATAGACATAACCTTGTATGTCTCAGCAGTTGCTACAAACAACCCCAAAAACTCAACCAAAAAAACCCAACACCTTCCAAAGCACTTATCTCAAATGAAGTGACACTTGCCTCCATGTCCTTTGCTGTACTCATTTACTGCAACTGTACAAAGATGGCACAGCCAGCACATGAAAAGGCATGAACATGCCAGCCATGGTTTTGCTCTCCATCCCCACCCTGCCTACATCAGTTCTAAGCAGTATTGGCTGTTCTGTTGCATAAACACAGCCTAAATCTCCATGCTTACTGCCACTAAAAATACCCATAAATCAGCACATTAAGTGTTCTAATGTTGTTTCATTAGACTTAGATTCAGTACTATCAAAAGCATCCTCTGAAACACAAAAATGAGCCATACCAACAAGTTTCAGACAGATCAATGCTATTAGTCTAGCAGTAGCAGACAACCAGCCTTCCACAGCTGCACAGCATTGAAAGAAAGCAAAGAGATTTTCATGACTACTTTACAAGGATTATTTAGATGAGTCTCAAAGGTCACTGTGTTCAGACCTGCTGTATAAATCACATCCACAAAGCTCATTATCAGAGCATACAAGCATTATATTTTTCCATCAGTGCTCCCCACTACTTGGTTTATTGTCCTAAATTAAAGCAACAGACTCAAATTCCTGAATTCTCCAAGAAATGCATTTTAAATGCATTCTGTGCTACTGAAATATTAATTTGCTTGCAGGCAAGAAAGGCCAAAGGCACATCCACAATGCAAGACAACATATGGCAGTGAAAAGTGAAGCCTAGGTTCTACAGGTAAGAGGAAATGTTTTCAGAAAAAGTCAGGGTATTTGCTTTCCTGAATGTTGATCCATTTCAGTTCATTTCAATCCCAGATGACTTAAAGAAAGGCAGGTTATGATCTATCAAAAAGGCTTAGTGTGTTTGATGGGGTTATCTGGAAATGGAGCTAGAAAGAGCAGAAAACATGAAAGCAGCAGCAGCTGTTTACAGGGTACTCAGCAGCACATAGGAACAATCAACCTAGCACAGCCATCACCATTTATTTTCAGAACCAGCTACAATCTGAATTTTTGAAAATGTATTTTGTACTTTCAGTTGAAGGAATGCATGAGGAAGAATTACCTGCTTAGGAATGTCAACCAAAGAAGAAGCAGCAAGCAGTGTGAAGGTATGCAGAGAAACAATGACCATCTTGGTAGAGGGGTAGGACGTCACCAGCTGCTGGAGCAGCTGCCGGGAGCTGGAGGCCAAGCTAGCATCATGATGCATGTGCTGAAGAATAGGGATCAACTTCAATTTCAAGTCCACAGGTGTGGCCAAACCTGCAACAAGGAGAAGAACCATAGGCAGAGCATTAGCCCTTGCACTGGCTTTTGGCAGTACTGAGGCACACGTGTCTACGTTGCTCTCACTGCTGAATGCAGCCTGTGCAGACACCTGCACTGACTTCAGGTAACACACACTAGCTAGATGTGTAATGACAGCACTATCAAGCACTTTCATCGTTGTTTGAAAAAGCTGCTCCTTGCTTCACTGCAGGTAACACACATTAACTCATATGAAGCAACCTCTGAGAGTCTATGTAAGTTTATTCATCACACTATAGATAAGCTTTTAGTCTGTACCAAACAGGCACTTTGAGAACTTTAGATTTTAAGAGGACACAAGAGCCAGACATTAGACTACTGGTTTACTTTAAAAACTGGAGTCATCTGAGCATAAGGGCAACAGCATTCTCATATCTAGTATTTACACATGAATAATAAAGAATATTCAGAGAAATTTTCCCTTTTATCATTCAATATACACAAGTACCTTGAATCATCTCACTGATTTTATTACATATCCCAGCAGCAAAATCCCTGTAGAGAAAAGAAAGTACCAGGTAAAAAAGAAAATAAAACAAATAAGGAATTAAAAATCATTAAAAAAACCCAAACAGCTGACCTACCAATTGGTAGTGTGAATAAACTTTCACAAAAGAGTGCCTGCCAAGACCTAAGTCTTCTCAGAACCACTGCACATAGGCATGATCAAATGATAAAATGGAAGCTTTCAAAAAATGTGTCTAAGTGACGAGCAGCACTACACTCTACTCCTTAATAATCCCTAATTTCTTTAAAATAATCCCTGATTAAACCTGATATCCCACATTTATGAGCTTTCCATTTTAGAAAAAACAAATCTGTTAAACTTGTATTCAGATTTCTTTACAAAATTGTTATTACACATAATTAAGTGTTTTGCTGTAAATGACAGCACTACAGAAGAAATCAGTAAGGTTTGTGAATGTCAGTCTTAATGTAAGCTTCCTTTCTCTGCAATATGAAAACATGGAGAACATCAAAATCTTACTTGGACTGTGCAGAAAAGTTGGCAGCAGCAAATATAGCAGCTTCAACTTCCACATTGTCATGGGAATCCAAACTCTGACGAATACTGTGATGTGCATTCTTCCTTTCTGGAATAATAGATGCCATGCTGCCCAACATCCTACAGAAATACACCATAGCAAAATCAGGAGGAACAATGATCATGAATAAATGTAAGATGAAACCAAATAGAAATGTAAAAGGACTGGCTAAAAGACTCATTTTCTATAAATACGTGCTCTTCCATGTCTATTACAGAAACAAACAAATGCTAAAAGTATATAATTAAAAGCTAACAAATTTTGTCATGTGGATTATGTCAGTGGTTTGATAAAAACTTACATTTTGATACCTTGTAGCTTGAAAATGGTGAGAGACTTAACAAAAATTCTTTCCAAACTAAAGAGTGCCCTAGGGCACCAGGAATAAGTCTTTTTAAGATGCTTTTATGTTCAAGTTCTGGTATCAATACAAGAGACTTAATGCTAAAATGTGCTGATGGCTATTTTCAGACAGACATGAAGTACACATCGTGGCATATAAATTCAGAAATGTGGTAGTCTAGGGGGATATTCAAAAGCACATTTAGAGAACTCTTTCCACCCCTTCCATCCCTCTTCCTAATAAAGACTGCAGAAATAAACAGCTGACAAATATCTGCAGTCATAAATTTTAACCACATGCTGCAAAAGTTTCTAGAGTCTTACCATCATCAAGTAAACACACACCTGATTTTCATGATTTTTTTTTTCCGAAGACCTTTCACTGATGTGGGATAAGGTTATTAGTGGGAATACTGCAATACCTTTTGTGTAACTGCTAAAAAAGTAGCAAATCAACATATGCTCTGCTAAGAACATCTCAAAGATACCTTTCAGACACGTTGAGCATAATCCAATTAAAAGAAGAATGAATGCAGGATTTACAGTGATGGCAATTCTAGCAAGAATTCTGTGCAAATATTTACACACAGTTACCTAGCTATAAAATTACACAAACTTTTGGTTTAGCAGATCTTTCTTTCAACATCTTTCTTACTGACACTATTCAAGGAGGACCAAAACAAATCAACAGAAGATTTTAATCTGAAACTGATGAGGTAACAGCAATTTTAACATTTTATTTGCTGTATCCTGAGAATTTATTAGGAATTTAAGTATTTTTTTTCAAACTGAGCAGGTTCCTGGGATTTCTAGCACTTTGTAAAGATAACCCTCAAGGCCAGTCAACAACTGCAATCCTATGTTAGAATACTTAAGTGGAACTACAAGAAACCATGAAGATATACTGTCCATGTAGTAGGACAAGAGGGCACAGACTCAAGCTCTGCCAGGGGAGGTTTAGGTTGGGTATTAGGAAGAGATTTTTTTATGCAGTTATCAGGCATTGGAATGGGCTGCCTAGGGAAGTGGTGGATTCACCATCCCTGGAGGTTTTCAAGATGAGACTGGATGTGGCACTTAGTGCCACAGTCTAGTAACAATGGTAGGGTTGGACTCTATGATCTTTGAGGTCTCTTCTAACCTGGATGATTCTATGATTCTATTTACAGATTTCTGAGATATCAGAGCATGAAAGCATAATTTCCAATGAAATTTCAGAAGAAAAAAGGAATGGACATATGAGCTAATTAAACACCTGTTAATGCCTCCTATCTTTCAAGAGTGAAATCAGGAACAGTTTTGAATGGATAAAAAACAGAATATAAAGGGAGAAAGGAAAGTGCTCTCCTCACATTTGAATTCACTTGCACAGGAGTGGGAAGACGCAGTTAAGATGATCATGTTGGATAGCATTAGATACACAGACACCAAAGCAATAGAACAGTGACATGAAAGACAGATTAATTTTATTACCCTATTTGGTTCCCAAACTCCAAAGCACTCAATAATACAATGGCACTTCCTTAAAATTTATTGATCCAACAAGCAATAAATTTCTAGGACAAGGATGAATGAAAAACAGGTGCAAGCATAACAAGGTTCTCCTAAGTTTTGGATACAAGTTAACAAAAATTATCTTGATGCTCAAGGAATTACTTTCCTTGTGGTCCTGGGCTAAACATATCATAGGCAATTGATACACACTGCATATAGCTACTGTCTGGATTATGCATGTGACAAGTCTGGTTATCTTCTCTTGAGTACACAAAATGTAAACACTGCTAATTCTGTTTTGCCTGGAGCCATCCACAAAGTTGTCATGATCATAAATGGTTAATAACCTTGTTCTTCTGACCACAGACCCTTATCATCTACCCCCTTTAAAGACAGATGTCTTTGCTTTTAACTCTATGAGCAATGAATAAAAAGCTTCCTATACACATCATTCATAGAATTACAGAATGGTTTGGGTTGGAAGGGACTTTAAAGATCACCTAGTTCTAAACGCCCTGTCATGGGCAGGGACACCTTCCACTAGATCAGGTTGCTCAAAGCTCCATCCAGCCAGGCCTTGAGCACTTTCAGGGATGAAGCATTCACAACTTCTCTGGGCAACCTGATCCAGTGCCTCACTATCCTCATAGTAAATTTCTTCCTAATACCTAATCTAAACCTACTCTCTTCGTCTGAAGCCTTTCCCCCTTGTCTTGCCCTTGTAAAAAGTCCTTCTGCATCTTTCTTGTAGACTCCCTTCAAATAGTGGAAGGCCACAATTAGGTAACACCTAAGTCCTCTCTTCTCCAGGCTGAACAATCCCAGTTTTCTGGAGGTTCAACTGGGGGTTGCCCTGACCCAGATGCAGCACCTTGCACTTGGCCCTGTTATTCCAGATGAACAGACTGACAATTAACCACAGACATGAAGTGAGTTAGGACCACTCATGTAACACATACCGGAGTGTAATAGCCCGAGCGACTGGATCATTGCTGTGAATTACTGAGAAAACTCTTTTGACAAACTCATCCACATTCAGGATCTTCTCTAAGTGCTTTTCACTCTGCTGAGTAACTTTCAGCACACACAGCCTCAGGAAGTTGTTCCTGTTAAAAAATACACACATTTCTTTGTCAGGCTATTTCATAATTAAAATTCAAGCACTTCCAACACTAAATTATTTTAAAACAACTTCTGATAGAAGAACAAAGGAGATACCAGAAACAAGGAAATGTCTATGCTTTTGAAACATTTAAGTAGACTGACATAATAAAAAAGAGACTATTAATACATTGTTTTATTTTCTAGTTGAAGTAGTGTAAAACTTATTCCCAATTCCAGGGAAGTGAACCTACTGACACCAGTGAGGAGGGGTGTAAGCAAATGCCTGTTTTGGGCACACTTAGGGATTCAGTTCTGCTAAAAAAACACACCCAAGACTAAGACAGAAGAGTCTAATTGCCACTGTTAAGCATGAGTGAATTTTTTTTTCCTTCCTGGAGCCAACAGTGAAGATTTCATAACACCAACATATAACTTTGTAAGCTATTACAAAGTCACTCCAATTCCATTAGAATCACCACTTAGGCAGCATGCACTTGAAGAAACTCTACCTTGAGCTTTGTATTAATGTTACATTACTTCGAGATGAAACTTGAACACACGATCATTCATTTATGAGCTATGAATGTGAATGTGCCAAAGGAGCAGAATTCACACCGATGAACTTGAATCAGTCAGGAAGCAAATCCTCAGATCAGGACAGATGGAAAGGAATTGTGCCACTGATCACTCACAGCCCCTCAGGCCCACTAAAGATGGGGAAAGCAAGCCTCAGTCGAGCACACGGTTCACGCTGGAGTGGGTGCCACTGTGGCGCTACCAGGCAAGCAGCAAATCCCCACGACTTCCCAGGCTCCCACGCAGCAGCGCTCCAAGGCACAGCACGTTCCTACCGATCAGACTCGAATGGATAGAAACCGCCTGCCGGCACTCACCCGACTCTGAACACATCGGCCAGCTTCAGGAACGCCGAGTTGATCAGAATGGGGAAGGGATACTTCTGGAAGAGCCTGGGAAAACGGACGACGGCTTCGCACTGCTCCCCGAGCTTGCCAGACCTGAGGCCTAAACGAGACGGCAGCAATTACTACTGCA